TGTGGAAAACATATCAAATGAAAGAACACTGCAGAAGAAAGCTGATTTACCAAGTCCCATCCCTGCTGGAAGAACTGTCAAAATTAGTGGAAGGAATTGCTTCACCAACTGCAGAGAATAAAGATAATGATCTTGTTGGAGATATGTAGATTCTGTTATAACTAATCTCAATAAAATAAAAGATGTATTGTGAAGTTGATTTCATGGCATGATCTGACATCAGTTGGCAATCAAGAACAGTACCCAAGAGATAAAGCTAGAAAGACTTAAATGTTATCCCTATATAAAGTGGACATTTCAGTTTTCTACATGCAGAGTTTGTCACCAATAATGTTATCTTACAGAAAAAGAACATTATCAAGATCATGTTCAAGAGTTTGTAAAACGAAGAAGAAGAAGAAGAAGAAGAAGAAGAAGAAGAAGAAGAAGAAGAAGAAGAAGAGGAGGAGGAGGAGGAGGAGGAGGAAGAGGAGGAAGAAGAAGAGTCTATGCACAAAATCATCCAATGAAATCCAAAAATCCATAATCTGCTTGTCTTGAAAAAGAAAGTTTCTTTTTTGGCATTGGCTTCTGTCTATATACCAGCATGGTATATTTAGACAGCAAAAATCCACGTGCAGACTTTTGTATCAAAGGCAAACAAAATTAGAATGCAAGAACTGTTACCATAGACACAAAATCCTGAAGAAGAAAGCATACTCTCTAAATGAACCCAATTAACAAGATTTTTGTTCAAATTGATGTATAAGCTGAGCTCATTGATCATGATCAAAGGTGAAATGTGGATCTTTTTGTGCAATATAATGTTGCATCCTCAACAAGAACAGGCAGTGATCAAGAAGACAGAAGTCAACAGGCAGAGGTACTGATAGGTTCCTGAAACAAAGAATGCCTGTGTTATATCTAATGAAAATATGAGTACTATAGAGAGTTCAAAAGTAAGATCTGATATGGAAGGCTTGAAAGTGAACCAAATGATTCATATAATTGAAATAGGTAGGGCAGGTTTATAACACAGCTATTTTTGCAAACAATAAGTAATTAACATATATATTTGGACTGTAGTACAGCATAAAATTCATTGGACCAATCTAATCTGACAATGACACCTCATAGCTTTTATGTCTTCCTTTTATCAAGAAATGGCAGAACCTCATTCTGAATGCTACTATAAAATGTAAATGGAAAAAATGCTTTTGGTGATCATATGTTGTGTATGTGGTTGGAGTTGTGTGCATTTTCAATTTTTTTTTAAAAAAATGATTTGTATGTTGCTGTAGATTTCAGCTTCTAAATATTCCAAGTAACTAAAGGCAGTAATGTTTAAGTCTACGTTGGTTGGGGGGATGGGTTGGAGTGAGGGTGTGTGTGTGTGTCAAGGACCAAACATGTGGATTGTCTGAAACCAGAGACTGAAAGAGTCTGTGATTTATTTAAAATGACAATGAACAGATATCAACCACACTTCCCATTTAGCAATGAGCTGCTGTCAACACAATGGGATGTCCAGATCGGAATAAGTGAATAAGGTTTACTTGGGACTGCTAAAATACTTGTTTTTGGAATTGCTCTCTGCTCGCCTCCAAATTCCAGAGGAAGCCCATTAGAAGCCTTTATATCTGAAAGTTGAAGATGGACAGCAAGTCCTTTGATATCTCCTGTGTGAATAACCTTTTGTGGTGGTTAATTTGGCGATAGAAGATGATCTGAGAATATGAGGCTAGAAACATCAATTATATAGAAAAAGATAGCACCTTCTAGACATCAGGTGACATGAGTCACAAAAGTCAGAAGATGACTCGATGGGAAGGCACTTGTTGCAACCTCAAAACACATACTTACTGCTTCTGACTATACCAAGACAGAGCCTTGGATGAGAGCATTTGCTAGAAACTTTTGAAAATGCAGGAAGAAATTGTCATCTTACTGAAAGAACAAAATACTACTAAATATGTCCAGTAACTAAAGATAGAAATGTCCAAGTCTATGCTGGAGGTAGGAGTGAGTGGGTCAAAGATCAAAGTCAGATGCAGATGACAAAGACTGAGATGGATTTGGAGACTAATTAAAATAACAAAACACAGATACCAGCCACCTTCTCCATTGCAGAATGAACTGCTCCCAGCACTTTGGGATATCTGGAAAGGAAAAAGTAAGATTTGAACCCTAGGTTTCATAGCTGAAGTTCCTTGTTGCCATTCTTATAAATTCTCCAGCTGTTGGTCTATTTCCCTGCAGAATCAGAACCTGGCCTTATTAATCAAAATTCAGAGAGATGATTTTCTCCCCATTTTTCTGATATCCTGCTAATTGGGGAAGAAATCTTGTCATTCTGTCTCTCTTTGAAACAAGACCCAGAGCTGTGCAGCATCAGTCCAGCTGGATGTCATTGCCAATTGGACAGAGCACCAAAAGCTCCTTATACTAAATCAGGATGCATTAAAATTCCTGGCTAAGTGAATAAACAACCATGGGGGGGGGGAATCTTTTACGCTAATATTTCCAATGCTTTCTTCAAATTCTGAGGCATTTTTAGAATGCAGCATGGCAAGGTATTATTATTATTTGCATGCTGGGTTTTGACTTGTGATCCTGTGCCATTTTATTCCAAACATTTTATTCAGAAATTTACATATAATTACCTTCCTAATAAAAAGAGCTATTAGGATGTAAAGATCCTCTCTCCTTTCCATGCTCTTTTAAATTATGACCTACTCAGCCTTGAAATCAAAAGCAGTGCGGAGAACGGTAACTCAGCCGAAACTTTCTCATTGGGCTTTTGCAGCCTCATCACTGATAAATATGCAAATTTGGCTCCCCCCCCGTTTTTTGTGATTTGCCTGTGAAAACAAGAATTAACTCTGAACGAATGTAGAAATTCAGAAATTGGGAATGTGCATGCCACTTAGTTTGTGTCACTGGTTATAGATGTCAGTGAACAAACACTGAAAAAGAAAATAAAATAATAATAAAAGAATACTGAAATGGGAGTGGAAGGTAACACTTTAGAAATCATTAGTTGTGATCATAATCCAGTGTGCTGATATAAAGAGTGCGGTCTACCTTTACACCAATATGACAGCTCTTACAGAAGGACTTTCTATAGCTGGTTTGTAAACATTTGTGCTGGATGTAACAACCCAACAGGGCTAGCAAAATGTCATACCTTGCAACACAATGCTAGCTGTATCACTCCATTCCAGGAATTCAGTTGTTGGCTGAACAAGCTATACAACCTGGCCATTGATTTTTTTTCTTCTCAACTCATTACCAGCACCTAAGAGTTGAGTGACAGTAGCGCCACTCTGTATTTAATGTAAGTTGTTCTCGTTCATGGTTGAATGTGGATTTATGGAACCGAGTAATCTTGGAGCATCAAAATAATGCACAAAGAGAGCAAGAGGGGACTCTCCTACACTTGCTGTTTCTGGTGAAGGCGGTAGAGATCCCAATAGATCTTTAATAGAGGCCTCTGGTATTTCTTTTTCTTGTTTTGCTTATAAGCAAACTCGCTGCAAGTTAATTTCAGGATGTACTGTATGTTTGCTACTGCTGCAAGTTAACTCTATTCTGCATTTACCCACTGAATAAGACTGGGGAGCTTTGCAAATGCTTGCTAAGTGGATGACTTCTTCCCATCTTCCATTTCTGCAAAGTAAGTGGTTGAAACAGTGTAATAATTTCCTTTTATTTTTTAAAGCATTAGAAGGCTTTTTTCTTCATGTTTTGTGCTGTTAGGAATATTATTTCTAACCCTATGGTGCTATGTGATGGTCCTGTTGCTCTGAAGTATGGAGATGAAACCCAAATCCAAACAAAAGGAGGTATATATTACAGATGAATCCATTTGGCCTTCAACATATATTATAATGCACTTGCATGATATATATGCACCCAAATCCCTGTCAACCTTTGCAGTAGAACAAGGTCTTCTAAGGCCTGTTTTACATATTACTCTGGCTGTAGAGCTGCAGCTGGGAAATTGAATGACTGGGGAACTTCTCACAGATTCCTACTTTGCAAAAGGAAGGATCCATATGGCTTTGACACAACCTACACAAATAGGTTGGGTAATCAACCTATTAACTGAACTGGCATGAGCAGAATTAATACACTAGAAGCTGGGAAGCCATTTCTTCTCCAAGAGAGGTAATTACTTCTGTTTCTTATATTTAAGAGATGGAGCAATTTTCCAAGTTATTTACTAGTTCAGCCTTCTTCCCCAACCTGGTGCCCTCTAATGCTGAAAATGCACCTCCAGATTTGTTTTTGTCATTGTCATCAATGAAGGATGACATGCAAAATGCTTTGAATTCAAAATGCTTGAACATCAAAGCACTCTTTTGAGTTTAAGGTTGTTATTCTGATTTTGAACAAGAGGTCTCGACCATTTCTGAAGAGCTTCAAGCTCAAAACATCTGTTCTGAGTGCTAGACAAATGTTTTGAAAGTGAAATGGGGACGTGAAATTGAAACATTCCTAGAATGGTCAGAACATCCTCTTTTGAATGTGTAACGGCACATTTACCTATTTCACAGTCAAAATGTTTTGCACAACTCTAAGAGCACCTAGGGATGATGATCCAGTTTCTTCTCTATCTCTTCTAATCCCTTTTTTCTATAATTCTGCAGTGCTAGTCCTTCAATACCCCTATCTATTCTCTCTACAGCTGTTCCTTTTCCTATATTCCTTTTCTTATAGTTTAACTTTATTATGGGGAACAGTAGTGAGTTTATGGGACAGTTAGCCATATTTCTAAATCATGATACTCCAGACTGGGTGCTCCTGCAACCTCTTAGCTAGAAATTGCCCACTTCACTGGTATTAATTGGTGTCCTGAACAAATATTCAGACTTTAACTCTACATTTTTTTTTGACTGCTACAAGTTCTTTCGACTCTTTAGGAAACCTAAGTTTAGCGAAAGGGAAGAACTGGTAGAGGGAACTGCTAGTAAGTCACAGAGATGGACAAGCACAAATTTATAACACACCCACTAGAGTTGCAGGCATAGCATGTAATGAAGATTCATTGTTAGCAGAAGATAACCTCTTGAACTCCATGTACAGATTACCAAATTTTGCTAGTCTCTTTGAAACATATTATGCTTCCCTAAAGTTGCTCAGGGTTTCACTTGAGGAAGTAGACTGAAATTCACTTTGAATTTGATTTAGGATGAAGATGGTGGCATCTCCCACAGGGAGGGAGACCAGTGTTGGTAATTAACAGCAACCAGAAGAAGGTAATGTGTGGAGCAGACCATTAGCATGACTCTTCCCTGCATGCTACAAAGGCCAGTGGGGCAGAACTGTCCACTTGGAGGCACTCAGCTTTTGTGCAGTGGGTTTTTGCTTCAGAGGATTGTTCTTCCATCTCTATTTCTGACTTCTGCTGGACTGATAAGCACACACAATGTTGTCTGGGGAGGGGGGGCAATGAGATCCTCCTTCGAGTGGGGTCCGTGATGTACTGGTGGCCTTCATGGAGATGTGACTTTGGGTTGTGGTCTTTGTGAAAGGCTGGTATGCTGCAATGTTCCTGGCCAACTCCTTTTAGAAAGCTGAGCCTGTGATGGCATTAAGTTGCTTCATTAGCCCTTCCAAACTTGCCATTTGTTCACTAAGGTCATCCTGTTCATATACCTGTGGAAAAAACAAGCAGCTAGTTTAGACCGGTGTGGTCCATTCTACCCCACAACATTAGGGTAAGTAACAAATGAAAATCAATTATTTTTGTTTGGGATGTTTGCTCAAATTGGGGATGTGGGAAGAAACATCTGCAAGAAGGGAAGCAGCAGAAATTAACAAATCTGGCAGGGTGCATTTTTAAAACATTTTTCAAGCCAATAATGTTACAGGACCAGCAAAGGTCCACTCGCTCCATATTTCTTTGGGAAGATTGCTATCATGAGAACATTTATTATTTATGGGTTATCTTTGGTCAATAAACAATGTATCAGGGATTGTGCCCCAAAGAGTATTGGGTGGGGCCAAAATAAAACCTTTATTTTTGATTTCATTTATCATAACATACATAAAATCATATACTAAACTGATCATTCTCCAGTCACCTTTTTCCTTTCTATCACAAAATTATGACCTAATTTTTTTTGGGGGATGTCTCTGACAGCAACACTCAAAGTGTTGGGAAGTGAAATCTGTTGTCCTGGAATCACAAGTTGTAATACCCTGAAATTAACACAAGAAGGGTGAATTTCTCTTCACCTGGATTTAAGGGAATGTTGAATGAAATGAGTGGAATCAATACATATAATCAGACTGCGCAGCATTGGGCTGTACAATAATTGTTTTGCCCAGTGTTTCTCAACCTTGGCAACTTTAAGATGTGTGGTCTTCAACTCCCAGAATTCCCCAGCCAGCTATGGTTTTACCTATTGAAACAAATTCCAGCCATCAAAACATTGTAAAGGCGATGCTCTGCATGCTGGGCTGTACGGGGTGTTTAATTTGCTGCAGTTTGATTGATACATCAATTTGGGTGGACAAAATAATCCCAATCAAAGCAGGCTTCAACCGAGTCATTTCATCTTGGGCTTCTAATCAATACATTGATGTGCCTCACTTCCATTCAGCTTGCCATTTTGTTATGGAGCAAAGGATATTTTTCCTCATGGATGTTCATGCTTAAAAGCCCCCTTTCTTATCTGGATCAGAGCAGCACAGCCACTCCATTCTCATGCTTTGATCTGCACTGTCGCTTTGATATAACAATTTGCTTCCCGGAGGTTCTTCCGTCAAAGCTTTATTGAATCAAAGCACCTTTTTGGAGTTTTGGCTTCTATTGTACATTGATATGGTCAGTGTAATAGGCAAAGTTTCATTAGGTCAACTCAAACATAGCTTACTAATGGTGAGCATCCTTTGGTGAGAAATGGATTCCTCTACTTCAAGAGAAAGAAAGGAAGGAAGGAAGGAAGGAAGGAAGGAAGGAAGGAAGGAAGGAAGGAAGGAAGGAAGGAAGGAAGGAAGGAAGGAAAGTCCTATTTATCATTTACTTGATTACCATTTTTAGCCTCTATAATGTTTTCTATTGCCCATACTTTATCATTTTTTCTTCGGCAGCCTATCATACTTCCAATTAATATGGTGACCTGCAGACATATTCTACACATATTTATCAAAACTGTGAAGACTTAGATATTATCTTTTTATGATGTATACGTTTTGTAATATTTTATCTTGTTAATATTGTAAACCACCCAGAATTACCTTATGGCAAGATGGGCAGTCAATAAATTTAATATTGATGTTAATATAAAAAACAGGCAATCTGGCAGGAGCCAAGGAAAATGTGGAAGGGTTTGAGATCTAATTCTTTCCTGTTTCTAATTTGTGCTTCTTACTGGTATATAGGAAAATCTTAGATATATATTTTCTGCCCTGTTGATTCCCATTCGAGCCTTTAACTTTAACTTAGAAAAAGCAGTAAAAGATTTTTTTTTTCTTATTCTGGACTGCATCTTCATCAGATAAAGCAGGGGTGTCAAACTGCCAGCCTGCGGACTGGATGCCCAAGCAGGGGGTTGGACTAGATGACCTCCAAGGTCCCTTCCAACTTTACTATTATTATTATTATTATTATTATTATTATTATTATTATTATTATTATTATTATTATTATTTTAGATCTGTAAGTTTCATACCCCAGAATTTCTGACAACTCTGGAGTTGGAGTGCTTTTCTGCAGTTAAGTCAATATTGTACAAATATGCTGTAGATTTACTCCTGAAGATTATTTCTTAGATATTGGATGATGTAATCTCTTCCTGATCCTCATTCTACTCCTTCCTCTACAATAATATGCTGTGAAGCAGAATGAAACAGTGACCTGATGTCAGCATATATTGAGCACCCTCATGCCTACTTCATTTTTTGAGTTTTGCTTGAAGGAGGTGGTAAATCAAAAGATACACCACACATCTGCTAAATGTGAAACCTCAGGGATTAAGCTGAGGGCAGAGTACAGAGCGCTCAGTAATTACAAATATTATCAGAAATATTCTAAAAATAGATAAACTGGGATTTCTTATTCTATCCTATTCTATTCTTCTCCAACCTGAGCATTATTCAAATATGCAAGTTTCAACAATTGGAGCTCCCAGCCAACATGGACACTGCTGAAAGTTGGAGCTGAAATCCAACTCCTCTGGATGCCAGTTCCATTGGACTACAATCCTAACAACTCTAAAAGTGTCCAGGGAGATTTAGGAAGCTTTGAAAGCATTGAGGCAAAACCAGTGAAGTTATTCCAAGATTCAATGTATTGTAATGGTTTAGATGTTAGACTAGGAGTGTTGTAATGGTTTAGATGTTGGACTAGCAGTGAGGAGAATCCAGGGTTAAGTGCCACTCTCAGCTATGAAATCTCTTTTTTTGTGTGTGGTGATGTTGGGTCAGTCACTCTCTCAGCCCAACCTTTCTTACGGATTTGTTGTTGTAAGGAAAAACAAGAGAAGGGAGCGTTGTGAATATCATATTAAGATCTTGAATGAAAAATGAGACACAAAACATCCTTCAGTTTATCTTATCAGTTCATATTTTAAACCAGCTAAGAGCCCCACTTGCAATGAAGAAAATATAGGAGAAGGAGAAGAAAGAAGCAGCAAAATGAATGAGTGGGGTGGTGGGGTTTGCAATAATATCTGGCTTTGAGAACTGTATTTTTTTCACAAGAATCCACCTCAAATGGACTAAAGGGAGATGCAATAAAATCCTCAAGCCATCTTATTGAGACTACATGCCTAGATTTAGTCTTACATTAGCAGGATCTTCTGTTTGTTTGTGACCCTCTTCTGTGGCTTCTGGAGCTGTTGGTACTGAGACAGGAAGCAGAGGTGATCGTGCTTTTCCAGCTAGTCCAAGGGATGCTGTCTTAACCTGAGCCTTGGGAAGATTGGGTGCTGTAATAGGAAGGGGCAAACCATTTCAATATTACTCTTAAGAAGCAGACACAAAAACAGGCAAAAGCCGCATGAGCAAATTTACTGATGCATGTTCTTCCTGAATATTTATCTTGCTTTTCAGATAGTTATTTTCCCCCCAAGGGGCTCATGGAAATACAATAAAATCTTCAGTAATGCATGAGCTGTAATGAAGTATATCTTCCCAGTTTTGGATTGACTTACCATGTATCTGGAAGGATGAGGACCATCAATTTTAGGTGATCTCCTTCTCCTTCATCAAGGGAGAACAAATGAAAAACAAAACAAAACCCACCCATTCACACAATGCCTATTACCCCCAACTTGTTTGAAAACTGAAACCAAAAATGGACAAAAATAGACTTTTTTTTCCACTCCGTTAAATCATGTATATGCACATATGTATATATACCATACTACATTTTAACTGTAGAGAGTACAGGAAGGTGAGATTGATGCAGATATGGAAAGGCTGTTGCCTAGGCAAAAGGGACCAAAGCATATCTAAATCCTAGAACAGAGAGATAAAAAAAAACCACACCAACAGCTCCCTAATTCACTTATCCATAAGAAGGAATAAGAAGTATAGTACAATCAGATTTACAAGATTCTGTTATAGTAGCCAGTATTAACAAAAACAGTTTTAACTTTCTTGGGGAGTTGATTTCAAGATCTGGTCCATCTAGTGGGGGCTGACCTGATTAGTCTCCAGGTATCAGGAAAGGACCTCCACCATATTTGTATGTTCCAGGACTGAAGTAAGTAGCTGAGAGTCATCTGCATATTGATAACATGTGATCATTCACCAGCACATAACGTTTTTTTGAGCTTCATATCATAAAACACAATTGCTCCCTCCTTGCATCAGGGAGTGGAATTGCCCCCTTGGGAAGGAGAAAACCCAATCACACTCCAGGACATCATAAAATGAATTAGTGTGCTTTATGTACTGTACAAGGAGGTGCTTTAGTTAGCCATCTCATAATTAAATAAACTCAGGAGTGGTCCATCCCACCCATGAAAAGTTCACTGAAGTTCCAAACATAAATTCTCTTCCTTCAAAGGAAATTTGAACTGGTAGAAAAAAATGCAGGAGGTGTTCTCTATGGAGAACTATCCACTGAAGGAGAGAAAGGAAGATTTGAATAAAATAATAAAAGACAGTCCCTGTTAATGACTGGGAGAATTAGTTACTTCTTTAACTTGCAGGCAGACAGTAAAATAGGATTCTAGCTCAGCTGAAATTTCTAGTGAAGAGATGACTCTATTGGTTTCCCTTCTCGAATCCATAGCAACAGTTTAAAGGGATCCATCTTTGTTTTCACTGCAGCCAGCATGGAAGTACTGAAGACTACACTCTTCCAGTTAACTAGTTATATGATTGTGATCTAATTGGTAATTGAGTTGCTGTTGTCCAACTGGTAAACACTGCAGCCCCTATGAGGGTGGGGTGGCAGCTGACAATCTGCCTTGGATCCATCCCCTTGCCAAATGCAAAACACCAACAGTTGATAGAGAACAAAACAGTACATTTTGGCAGACATGAAAAAAAAAAAAAACCCAGAAATGTCAGGCATTCCATTCTGGAGGAAAAATTCAATGGAACACCATTATCTAAATCTAAAACTTTTGTGAATGCTTGTACTGTGCCAAAATAAATAACAGAATAAATTCATAGAACATAGAATAATAGAATTGGAAGGGACCTTGAAGGTCTCATTCTGCTCAAGAAGGAGACCCTACCACCCCAGACAAGTGGCTGTCCAGTCTCTTCTTAAAAGCCTCCAGTGATGGAGCACCCATAATGTCCGAAGGCAAGCCATTCCACTGCTTAATTGTTCTTACTGTCAGAAAATTTCTCCTTAGTTCTAGGTTGCTTCTCTCCTTTAGTTAAATAATTAGTTAAATACATCAGCTCAGCAAGGAACCACAGGTTCATGATGCTAATTCTGAAGTTGGCTGAAATCCCCCCCCCTTTTTTTTTCTTTTGAAATGCCCTAAAGGTCTATATTTCTACCAGGTTTCAAGCAGACTGAGAAATTCTATGGAAAGCCAAAGGAAAAGCAAAGCTGAAAAATTACACCGATTTCCTACTGATAAAAATTAGGTTTCTACTTTGCTTGGTTTTTAATTAAATGCTAAAACAGGTGTGTGTGTGTGTGTTGCTTCAACAAAAACTCAACTGCATTAAAAGCAAAGGGAAGACACAGGTATTAAAGGGCCACTTTTAAGTAGTTTGTCACAAACGAGATTTTCTGCACTCCTGGATCCCTTTGAAAGCCAAGGTTTAAAAAACAGAAAGGAAAAAGCTAGGGGAACCAAAGAGAGAAAAAGACTCAAAGAATTCTTCAGAAGATACTATGCTTTGCACTCTTTGTAGGGAAAAAAAAAGACTTCGGTAGTAACTGCTTTGGCTCAACTTCAACTTATTCAAAGAAAGAACAGAAGGTACATTGATTCAAGATGATGTTATGTGTAGGTGTGCATGCTTGCTTTTTTAAGTGGTACAGTCTAATAATAATAAAAAGAGCTATTGAGACATTTTGAAAATCTTTTGATGCTTGTAATTGCTCCTGCTCTCCTAAGCTAAGATCAAGGTTGCAGAATTCAATTTGCAACAATCAATATATAGGAAAACTCTTTGATGATCTGCCTGAGGATCTACTCAGCCCAACCTTGCTCACATTAATCCAAGGGATGCCTTCAGTGAAGATCAGTGGCAGGAAAATGACAGATATTCCTCTTCTTTTGATGTACCCACCAAACTAACACCGAGGTATTAGCAGAGAGCTATTTTGCATTCACTTGTTGCCAGTAAGTTTATGGATCCATTTTAAAGTGCTAGTTATAGTCTATAGAAAAGCACATGGCATAGCACTAGGTTGTACCTAGTTTGATTCTGCCCATCCTATGAGGACATCTAGGGAGCCTTCACTCCAGACCCAGGCTTGGTTAAAGGAGAGAAGAAGATGGACCAATGATTGCCTATTATGGAATATGCTGCCTCCAAAGTAGGCCTTGCACCCTCAGTTCAGGAAAGGATTCAAAGCCACTTTCGTAAAGCAAGCATTCAATGCCTTGTGGTGAGTTTTGGGGTAGTAGCTACTTCTGGCCATGCTTTAAATGTTCTAATTGCAAGGCACAGGCAGTCCTTGGTTAATAATGGTAACTGAGCCTGGAATTTCTATCATTAAGTGACACACTTGTAAAACATGTCACTTGACTGTGTTACTTGGTGATGGAGTTCTGGGATTTTATGGTGGCCGATGCTAAGCTCAATGTTGCATGTTCGCCCTTTACAACCTCTTGCCAGCTTCCCCATTGACTTTACTTGTAGAAAGAGGGCAATGAAGGATGCCAATTGTTACCACCAGGTGCTGCAACATCATAATTATGAATCAGGGGCTGAGCACCCAGACTGTAATCATATGATGGCAGGGATGCTGTGATGGCCACAATTTTGAGATCTGGTCATAAGTACCCCCTTGTTCAATGCTGGTATAAACTTAAACAGTTGCTGAACAAGTAGTTGTATGCTACTCAGAACTTTTGGATTGGGCTGAATGAATATTGTAAAAAAAAAATGAAGCAAACAAATAAATACATTGAAACATTCTGCCTCTGTTCCTGGTATTATTATATTGTGTGTGTGTGTGTGTGTTTTGGAACTATAGTTTAACAACATCTGGGATGCAAGAGATTGCCTAAATTTGAATGAAGAGAGATTTGGAGAAACAGTGAGATTGAATTGGCAGCACCAGCTGGAACTGAAATACGATTTATGGGGTGGCTGTATAATCTGATGCAAGGTAGCCTATATATGTATCTAAATCTAGTTGTTTCTTATTTATTCTTATATATAACAAGCACTATGAACACATCATTATACTCCAGAGTCCATCATCTAAAGGAACAGAACCCAGTATCATAAACCCTAGAACTTTCTACCTCATGTAAACAGGGATTATGGAACAATATGATATTGCAGAAGGATTTGAAAATAGGATCAAATAGACAATTTGCCTCTATAATGGAGTATTGAAACAAGAATCCAACCTATGGGAAGACAATTAGGAATTTGAAAATGTAGGGGATGTTTTTAAATCCAATTCTGTCATCTCTTAAATGCAGGAGTGATATGTACTTGCATTAAATAACTTAGATGTGATGCAGCTCCATTCAACATGTGCTACTGTAAATTGTGTCATCCTATTTGGACTATACATTTCAAGATGGCCAAGACAGTGGGCTTTGCTGCTATCAAATGGTTGTCTGGAGTTTTGCAGCCAAGTATAATCATTCTACAGTTAATTTAATATGAATGTTAGTGAGTTGGTGTAGTACCTTGTATGAACATACCAGGTTAATTTTAGTGCATTGTTCATTGGACAGATTTCCATCTGCTGCTGGTCACATAGACTGCAGCAGAAACAAATAAATGATCTGTCATCATCTTACGCTAGTTGGTTTTCTAGATACCCAATCGCAGTAGAAATGGATTTTCTGGTGGTCATTGGTAAAAGATGTAATAAATTACAACACTGCCTGATTTTTTTAAAAAATCAACCAAGGTCATTTAAGTACAAGTTAAAGAACTATATCATCAACAATTGCTAAAGACCTGCAGCATTTGTTTCAGGACAGATTTTTTTTTTTTAAAGAGAAAACAGCTTTGTTTGGAGCAGCCCCAGCTGGTTGGACCAGGGCCAGCTAGCATACATCAACAGCACAAATAGAATAAACTCAGTTCCAACCTTTATGTTACTTTCTTTTCTTTTGCTTTTGTTTTGTTTGCAGTTAATTAAACTTCTATGGAACAAGTGACAGGAATCCTCCCTCTTTGTCTGTCCCCAAACCAATTAGTCATGCAAAATCCATTTAGATCTGGCACAGAAAACGGATGGCAAAATAAGGCTTGAGCATAACTGTCTGGTATGAAGAATATGCTTGCACCTGTGAATCTCAGGGTTGATGTGGAT